GTTGCTTGCTCTATATTTTAGTTATAATTCCAATTTGGTCCTGGGAGGAGGTCCTGGATCCTAGGAAGGTCCTTTCTTGATGCAGGCACAGCAAAGCAATAAGTCTGGAGCACATCCGTCTACGAGGGCTACAAAAACCCCACCTTTTCCAGGGTGGAAGACAAGTCCATAACAAGGCCTGTAGCGTACTGAAGCAGTTTTCTGTAGACACTTCTAAAGAGTTTGTAGATTTTTGATAGGCTGAACAGTCTTTAGGAAAGTATTTTCTATAATTATAAATAATTTGGAGACAAAATTGGTTTCCTCTGTCAGATTGTTTTTAAGCACATGCCAGCCTTTTTCAGTGGGACCAGAGGAAACACACGTTGCCCCTTGACTCTTCTCATATTCTACCTCTGTCATGCAGAAGGGCTTCCTGGGATCAAATCAGTGGCTCTAAAATTGCTGGAGCAGGCATGTGTGTGTGGCATTTGGTTTGCCATGACTCTTTGGCATTCAACCATGCCTTGGGGCAATGGCAGCATTTGGGGCATGTGAGGCAGAGATATGATGAAAACCTGGCTGGAGCATGTGTATGGAGCAGTGGACAGGTTACATATTTTCTGTAACCATTTTGAAATGGTATGTTTTTTATGCTATTGGCTGCTGAAATGATTCCTTGTAACACAGAGACGAGAAGGAAAATCCCAGGCCAGAAACTCATGGCTTTCTTAGGATGAGCACTACTGTCTCTCAGTTGGAAGCCCGATGACAATCATAGATAATGTCACTGGAGAGAAAGGAGCGCTGTGAGTAGCTGGAAGCTTGTGGGCCTCAGTTGGGTATTCTTGACTTGCACATCAATCATCAGTGGTCTATGTTTGGGATATGTTTCTTACATTTCTCTTTCCCTTTCTCAAAATCAATACATGGCTTGTTATATCTTAGAGAGATATAAGCAATAGAAGTAGGTTTATATTTGTTACAGAGTTGAGTTATTTTCAATATTTATCCCTGAAATAATCTTTGGGCATGAAAAACCCATAAAAGCTGTGTTACTGCTCAAAGAAGTGGGGCGTTAAAATGAGCATCCACTATGCCTTTTGCACTCAGAGTTGTGTGTGGATGCCCAGGGCTCCCAAAGTCTGACTGTTTTAACTTTTGCGTTGATGGTTATTGTTGGGTCCATGTGAACAGGTACTAACAATCTGGTGTAAATCTAGTCTCTTGCCTTTAATGGCACTATCAGTTATAAAACCCAGCACAGAGTTCAAGTTACAGCCAGGGCTCTGGAGTCAGACTGCTAGCTGTGTCAACCTGGTCAGATAACTCAATTCTGTGCCTCTGTTTCCTCATCTGTAAAATGGTTATAATGGTACTTCCTAGGAATGCTATAAGGATGATATGAACTAATGCACATACCACAGTGTGTGGCATGCAGTGGGTACTCACTCAGTGCTAACTTTTATTATAGTGGAAAGTCATTTGAGTGCCAGATGGACTGAGTTTTAAGTTCACGTCACTCAAACATCCAATCTTTTCTGAGTTTGTCACCTTGTTCCAGGCATCTGTGTATGGGATGGGGTGGCTCAAGTACTTTATTGGCTGGACAAATCATGTCACCTCTCTGTGCCTTGTTTTCTTAACTTTACATCCAAGTATTCAGATTAAATAATATCCTTGACTCATAAACTGTAATACTATAGTATCATTGATGTCTCTGGGACTGTAAGAATGCATTCTTTACTTTGGGTCTTTCTAAGGTAATGTTCTAAAAATTTCTGGGATAAATTTCTTGCCAATCATTGTTTCTCTGGATCCCTTTTGAACTTTGCCTAAATTTGTACAAAGAGTCTTTTAAGTTTTTCCAGGTAAAAAAGCATGACATAAATACCAGGTCATTTGGTTTCACTTCATTTGGCCACATTTAATTCTGTCTACACTCTTAGAGATATCTTTATTTCCCAATTTTTAAAAAACTACTTAAAATTCTTCAATGCATTTTCATTGCTCTTCAAATAAGGGCCAAAATCCTTTACAAAAATCCTTCCATGTGTTGGTGGGTTTGGATCAGTAGTTAGAGTGTTGGTCCAGAGACTGAAGTGTTGTGGGTTCGATTCCCAGTCAACGGTATGTACCTGGGTTCCAGGTTCGTCCCCAGCCCTGGTCAGGGTCATGCAGAAGGCAACCAATCTATGTGTTTCTCTCACATTGATGTTTCTCTCTCTCCCTCTTTCCCTTTCATTCTATCTAAAAAAAAATCAATGGAAAAATAACTGTAGGTGAGGATTAACAAACAACAAAAACAAAAAACAAAAGTCCTTCCCTACCTCATTCTCCAATCTCAGCTTAGTCTTGTCTCCCCTTTATTACCTGTGTTCCAGGAGCACTTAGCTTCTCTCTTAGTTCATCAACTGTACCATGATTTCTTGCCTTAGAGTCTTTGCACATGCTGTTCTCTCTGCATAGACTCGTCTTTTCCCCCCTCCCCTTATTTTACCTAATTAACTCCTATTAATTGATCATATCTCAGATTGAAAAAAGCATCTTTGTAAAATTCTTCTTTTCTACATTCCACCCATTCTGTGCACCAGATTGGACCCTGTTACTTCTGGGTGTATTTGAGATCTTCTCTTTCTTGTTCTGCAGTTTCAATTGAATCAGTTGCTGATTTTCATTTGTTTATCCTGCTGGGTCTCATAATTTTTGAATGTGAGTATTTATGTTTTCCATAGATTCTAGAAAATTTCCATCAAAATTGCCTCTACTCCATCTTCCCTTGTCTATATTTGGAACTTGCAGAAGGTGCGCATGGGATGTTTTTCTCTTTCATGTCTCTCAACATTTTTGCATATTTTCTATCTTTCAAAAACAATCTCTGTGATGTTCTGGGGAATTTTCTCAAGTTCCCCCCCTCAGTGTACTAATTTTCACTTCAACATTGTATAGTTGCTCTTTAACCCTTCCATTGAAATTTTTATATCAATAACTACGTTTTTTTTGCTTCATTAAGTTCTAATAAGTACTTTTCCAAATGTGTCTGGTCTTTCATGAGAGTCTTTTATTAAAAATGATTTTAGTTACTTTAAAAAAAATTTTGTTACTTAAAAAAAAAAAAAATCCTGCCCTGGCCAGTATGGCTCAGCGGTTAGAGCGTCGGCCTGCGGTCCGGAGAGACCCAGGTTCGGTTCCCGCTAAGGGCACGTACTTCGGTTGCAGTTTGTCCCCGGCCCTGGTTGGTCGTGTGGGTGGCAGCCACTCGATGTGTCCCTTCACGTCGATGTTTCTCTCTCTCTCTCCTTACTCTCTCTCCCTCCCACTCTATCTGTACAAAAATTGGAAAATATCCTCGGGTGAGGATAAAAAAAAAAAAAAATCCTCACCCAAGGATATGCTTTTATTGATTTGAGAGAGAGAGAGAGGTGAGAGAGACACATCAGTAGGTTGCCTCCCATATGTGCCCCAACTGGGTATCAAACCCACAACCTAGGTATGTGCCCTGACCGGGAACTGAACCCGCAACATTTTGGTGCATGGATTGGTGCTCCAACCAACCGAGCCAACCTGACCAAGGCAATTTTAGTTACTTTTATGTCTTTAGTTGTAATTCTGATTCTTGCTTATGTAGATTGTCACATAATTTACAACTTTGCCCTGCTTAGGGAAGCCCCAGAATACTCAGCCTATGCTTTTCACTGGTTTTGGTTTCCTTTTTTCCTTTTGGCTTATGAATTCCCTAATTTGTGTTTAAGAGGATATTTGTTATATCTGTATCCAGCATATGTAGGTGTTTTATAGTGGGAGTTTTGTTCTGCCATATTGCTGGAAGTAGGTATCCTCTAGGTCCCCCTTTATAGACCATCAGAGTGCCTGTCATAATTGTCATGGACCATTAAACAATAATCATTTGTTTAATATCTATCTTTCTTTCAAGAGTGTAGTTCCATCAGGACAGGCACTAAGTCTGACCTGTTCAAAACTGTGGCTATAGCTCAGCCAACTGCCTCGAACACTGTAGAGCTCCGTGAAATGGAGGCAGAGGTGGCCCTGGGTGTTGTGATAAATGGATTAGGAATCCTTCTCTACACTTTTGCAAAAACTTAACCACTCCGCACATTTCCTTGAACCCTACCCTTCCCTAAAATGAGTTAATTCCTGTGTAATCGTTCTCATGTCTCACAAGTGACTTCATACTGTACTGTTTTTAGTTACCTTCTGTATAGATGATCCCATTTCAGTTCATCATCACCTTGAACCTGGGAAGGGCTGGGATGAGGAAACTGAAGGTAGGGAAGATGATATGTCTTATCTTCTGTGAGACAGTTAGTAAATCCCAGAATTAAATCTAGATGTTCTAACTTCCAATCTTAGCTGTTTGTGTTTAAGAGGATATTTGTTATATCTTTATCCACCTTAGCTGTTTGGAGTGAATATCAGAGCTTCCTTATGTGAAAGTAAGGTGCACTTGGCTTCTTTACTGAACTACTTGTTTCTTGCTAAAGAAATTAGTATCTAGGAAAGAACAGATGCTGCCATTCATTTGGCACTACTTTAATTTGCATAGGACTCAGACTACTTGATTTTTCATTTGGACAGTGTGCTTACGTTTCTCTTGTGACAGATATTACAAACCATCTCTGCCAAAGAATCCAGGTTTCTGGAGACCTCTGTTCGTGGCCTGGTTGAATGTGGGTGTGTCTGGTAAAGCATGGTGTGTTACAGATCACGGGACAGAGACACAAGGTTTATCGATGCTTAACACACTTGGAGGGGTAACACGAGGCATGGGGAAGAACACAGAGGCAGCGACAGTCATAGCAAGCTGAGGCCCCCGGGTCAATTTCCAACCTCAGGGCTGAAGATCTTGGGTGGCTGGAGTCTTCCAGGCCCACCGGTGTCCAAGAAGAGCCCTCTTGACCGCTTGCACTGTGGCATTGGAGCCATGTGGCAGACATAGCAGCTTCATTCCTGAGATAGGAAGGGGAGAGGGAGTAGCACGGAAGCAAATCTTGGCTACTTACCTCAGGGCGGACCCCTTGGGTGTCGCAATGCCATAGCCTTTGGAATCCAAGTTACCTCCCACCTTCATGGTGTCACAGGGTTTCCGCTGCTCAATGTACTCATTCATGGTGGACTCCAGAAGGTAGGCGTATTTGCCTTTGGATTTCCTCACTCGGATCATTCCCTCCTCTGTGGTCCGCACAAACACTGATGGTTCTGCTGACTTCATGTATGTCCACATCTTCTCAAACACGGCAATTTTTGACCTCTGGCAGAAAATGGGAACAAAACTAGAATTAAGCACTGGCTGCGCTTAGAAATGAGGTCGGCACACACACTAATGAAGAGCTGAGTGTAACTCGATCACACATTCATGAGTTGGATTAGCTCAGGAAGAAACAAATTATGAGTGATTGCAAAATAAGAGACTCTAATTAGTACTAGTAGATTCCAAAGTACAAATATCTTGCAAATACAGAACAAACAGAATAGCTCCGAATCTTCTAATTGCTGGTGAGTAATTATATTCCTGTTAAATATGGATAGAGTTAAGAAACTGGGGCTCTATGTGGCTTTGAAAGGCATTTAAAACCTACCTATTGTTCAGCAAGGCCATATTTATACAGCTCAGGAGAAGTGGAGAGCTGAATATCAGTGAAATCTGATTTCATTATTGGAGGGCAATACTGAAGAGTTTCAGGGTGCCAAGTTCCAGTCTTCCCATAATGTAAGACCTGCCTCTGAATGTCAATTGCTGTCTGATAAAGCTAATAACTTGGGATCCAACATTGTCCCCTGTTTATATTTTAAAAGCCTCTAAATCTAGCCAAAATGCTTTCCTCATTGCTTCTTGAACTCACTTTGGGACTTTGCCTAGTCTGTTTACTCCACTTGATACGCTGGTTCTCTCCAGCCACAGCCTACTCACCATTTCACAGACCTCAACGCATCCTATGTGTTCTGAGGACACCTCAGTTCCAAGGATAGTAGTTCTCAAGCTCTAGTGAGCACCGAAATTGTGTACAGAGATTGTAAATATGCAGATTCCCCTGCTCTAAAACTAGAGATAGTGATTCAACAGGTTCCGGGGGAGAGGGGGCTAGAATAATAAATCTCTTTCAGCAGTTCCCCAGGTGATGCTGGTCTGTATGGCTCGTGTGACCTTTACTTTGAGAAAGTAAGGAGACAATGTCCAGGTACTCACTGGATGGCCAAGCTTGAATGCGTGAATAGTGAGTCATTCCTACTTGTGTGTAGGTCTCAAGTCGGCGGATACAGCCAGAGGACAGGGGACATCCTCCCTTCTGTGGATCTTGCACAGAGTCTAACCTTGCACATAGTAGGCCCTTAGTCAGGGCTCACAGTTGAGGACCACAAGTAAACACAGTCATCTAACATAGTCTTTCTAAAGAGCATTCTTTCCCCAAAGGGTAGATGTATTTTAGGGATACTGAAGTCTGGCTTTTGGAAATGCTTTGTAAGTGAACAAATTTTAAACACATATAAGGGACTATTATATATATTTTAAAGAAAGTTACTACTAGAATCATGCAACTTATATAATATAATGGTTAATATATAGATTAAAGATGTATTTAGTATAAAATTATCATTATACATGTAAGAGGTCATTTTTGTTTGCACACAAATATCAGGTCTATTTCCTTGATATCAACATCAAGTGTTGGCCAACTATTGATATATAATTAAGTTGCCGTTTGAGCCAACTGATCCAAAGAGATATTTGGGTCCAGAAAAATTCTAGGTCTTCATGGAAAATTAATGGAAATAGTTACTGAGAATTTCAGGAGGCATTTGATAGAATGAGCTGTCAGATTTCAGTCTATAATTAGATAAATTAGATGATTTGTTTCACAGTGTGATTTACAGTCTGGAAAGGACACTGGGCTTGGGAATGAGGAGCCCCAAGTTCTAGTCTTAGTTCTATGGCTAACTTACTTCATCTCTTCCATAGAACTTTGGGTAGGTAATCTCTAAGTCCTTTGCTAGCTGGAAATATCTGATTCTTTATTTGAAGATAATTAATTCAAGCAAGAATGTCAATAGGAGAAAGAAGAGAAAAGTAAAGGGAGGGAGTTAAGGAAAGGAGGACCCAGAATCAATCATGGCATCTATCATGCATCGACTATTCTCTCACAGGAAACTGGGAAATGTATAAATTCAGTTGTGACCAGATTTTCAGATGATCTTCCGGGCACAAAACCAACCAAGCACACAGCAGGGCAATTGCAAGATGCAATTTGACCTGACAGGATGGCCACAGCAGGGAACTGGGCTGCTGACAGGCGGAGCTGAAGAGCCCTCTAGGCAACGATATGCAGAAAATTAATATGTTCTCTCAGCCTCACCCTAGTGCTCCAAACACCAAGGCTTGCTCATAGCCGTTTGGAGCAGACTCTCAGGAACAACCTCATCTCCAGGAATGCGAAGGCAGCGTGAATGGCAGGGAAGATTGGAAGCATACTTGGGGTATTTGTTCTTGGATCTCTCCTATCATCCGCAGCTCCCGTGGTCCTTCACACATCTTAATTAAACTGTTGATTGTGGATTAAGTGACTCTGGGTTGGGGCTGCCAAGAAGCTCGGGGCTGCCGTGGTGACTAGAAGCCAGATTTTTCAGAGTCTGTGGTAGAAGAATTCTTGTCTCCCTATTCTTTCCTTCTGCCTTCTGGGGTGGTGGGCGATCTTGACTCCCTACCCGCCAAAGTCCTGGTGGGATAATTCTCAAGGTCTGAGTCACATCGATGGAAGGGCTCATGGAACACATCAGTGCTCCTTTTATACAGGTAGAGAAGCTGAGGCCCATAGTATGGCAGTGAAATGTCCAATGTCACATGGTTTGTTAGTGGCAGAGCCAGGAGCAAAGCCTGGTCTCCTCATTGCACACCCGCTGCAGTCAGTTCCTTCCTTTGTTTTAGGCTTTTTATCTGACTAGCTGTGGGATCTTTCTGAGCCACATGGTTCTCTCCTAACAATGGTGATCACAGTACTCACCACACAATGTTGTCATGGAGATGATAGGAGAACAGAGGTAAATGCATAACCCAGCACCAGCACTTTGTAGGTGTTGTATAAGTGGTGCAATTACTACTCACAATTCAGATTTTACTTTACAGGAGAAATATCCAAATACATGGCTGGCTCAGTACCAGTTTCCCTTCCTACATACATGGCTGACGTTGATATCAATCAAGGAATATATTTTACACTGGGCCCAGATGTAACCTCAGAATCTCTCTCAACATAGAACTCCCGGCAACTACGACCTATCGGTCAGCATATAAACTACACCTATTTGCCACCAGTAAGGCCTGGTTAGGGCACAGAGCTTGTAGAATATATTAGGTTCTAGATTCCTAACATTTACTGTGGACAAGAGATAGTAATATGTCAATAGGCTTAGCTATTAACAAAGAATGTGGAAGTCCAAAGTCCCAGCTGTGCCTCTCATTAGCTAGGCTATGCTCATCTTCTTTTCTGGACTTTGGTTTCCCCAGCTAAAAAGAGCAGATTTAGACTAGATTAGTCTATGGGTCCATTTGGTAACCTGAGTGATCTTTATAAAAACATTTACCGGTTAATGATATCACCCCATTAGGTCAGCGTGGTTCAGTGGCAAGAATACTTGGGTTGGAATGAGGAAACTCATATTTAGTACTCATCCTTGACATTTGTATCATGAAGTACCTGAATCTCAATGTCTTATCCACAAAGTGGACACCATACTTCCTGTTCTGCCTTAGGTCACAGGTGAAGCATAAATGAGACCATGGATGTGAAAATGCTTTGGGGAATGTGACCTGCTATTGGGGATGCAGGCATGGGTATATAATGGGTGAGTGAGTTGGGTGGTTCCCCAACTGTATCAGTAGGGTCTGGGACATAAGGCTGGCTTTATGGACAAATATCAGGTATCTTCTTCACACTTTGGTTGTAGGCTAAAAAGGTTGGAGAATGGTTATGAGATTACAGGTGTTTCTCGTACTAACTGGTTGGGTAAGCCTGCATAAGACATGTCTCTCTCTAAAATGACAGACTCTGACCACGTGACTCCTCAGTTTCCTTCTTGCTCCAATATGTTGAAAATAGATGAGTTTAGCCTTGGAGTCTAGATAAGCCTTAGTTAAGACTTTGGTCCCTTCCCTGCCTGACATACAGGACATTGAGTGCCGGATTGAGAAACTGACCACATTATCCTGTTGGTTCACTCAGGGCCTGGGATTTGCTCCATGAAGTTGCAGTGAGAATCTGGGGAGACTGTCCAGGATCCCCACCCTCTTCTCTGAGGCAATGCAGAGGTTTGCTTTCTATTAGCTGGGTGACCTTGAGCAATTACTTTTACTCTCTGAGCATAATCAGCTATAAAATGGGGACAATATATCGCTAACTCACCTCTAATGAGAGGATTAAGGGAGGTGATGCATGTAGGGTATGCTTAGAACAGGACTGGATTCACAGTAAGTGCTAGGTAGTGGTAGCAACTGCTTGTTTGCTTGACAATACATTGTAGCTCCATGTGCTATTTGTTCAAATCTCAGGACAAACATGCCCAAAGTTCAGGGAACTGCAGGTTTTCCTGCTTTGGGGCATTTGTTTAAGTTGTTCCTTTGGCCTAGAATGTAATTAGCTGACCCAGATCAGACCTGGTTTCATGATGTCTAGAAATGTTACAGGTCTATTATCTGTGGCTTACAGACCCTACCCAGTTGCCCCTGCTGCCTATAAACTCATGGTCTTCAATGAGGAGAATATTTTAATTCAGTGGTCCCCTTCTGTGCAAATGCCTTGAGACCAGGGATATCCCTTTAAGATGGATCCCAAATGCTGCACCTCCCTGAGGTCCTAATGGTAAAGGGAGCCTCCAACCATTGTTCTTTGTTTCCCTTGTATTTTAGATGCCTCATCTCTTAGTCTCACAATGACACTGTGAGATAGACATTATTCTCCTCATTTCACAGAGCTACAGAGCGGTACAGGACGGAGCGGGGTGCTGGACCTAGGTCTGGCTGACCCTCAGTCTTGTGTGCCTCAGCTCTCTGCTCCTCCACCTTCGCTCGCTGCCTCCAGCCTCATGACATCCCCACCACCTCCACACCCACGTGTCATTTTCTCTCTGTCCTGACAGTTTTTAACAAGACCACCCATTCCAGTAACTGTTCCCCATGTACCATCTTCTATTCATCAAGCCTCCAAGGAGGGGATACAGAGGGCATCAGATCAGGACCTTGTCCCTAACTGATTCCTAATCAATTACTAACAAGACTGCAAGGTCCTTGCGGGGGCAGGGAGGGAGTCGTAGGTTGTGTCCTCAGAGAACAGGGCCTAGACTGGCATGTGTGAAGGGTCTGACTCAGTGCAAGAGCTTTGAAGTTTCCACCAATAAAGCAATGTAGCTTTCTCAGGCACCTGAGAAATGTTCTGAGTTCCCCTGACTTATGTTTAGTTAAGCAGTTGCCCTGGCTGCCTGTAATCTCATGCTCTTTAATGAGAAAGCCATTTTAAGGACAGTGGTTGTTCCCTTTTGTGAAAGTGCCTCGGGGCAAGGGGTGTCCCTACCCTGAAGAACTCCTTAGTGGATCCGGCTTCCAGCGTCCCGTACGCGATTTCCGTCTGCTTCGCTAGGTCCTCCGCACTCTCAATGGGTGACACCATCCTCTCCACGGTCAGGAAGGCGGCCAGGTTGGCTGTGTATGAGGAGATGATGATCAAAGTGAAGAACCACCAGACACCACCAACGATGCGGCCGGACAGGGACCTGAAGGCCAGAGGGAAGAGGTGTCAGAAGTACAGACAGCAATCCCAGAAGACAGGGGAGGGGCTGAGGGCCAGCCTGAGCCCGTCAGCAGACCTGTCAAGCCCTGTTACACCCTTCTCCTCTGTCAGCGAGATGTGAGAATTCAAATGTCAGAGAGATCTCCTCTGCATGGTGTTCCTCGTCATAGAGAAGGACCTGTGGGGTTGCCGTCCTTCAGGGCTGATAAAGCCCCTCAGGTACATATTCGCACTCACTTTCACACATACATATACGTCAAGACACATGCCAGCAAAGACAGGTATGCCAACACTTGCCACCCCAAACCACAAACACACATAAACCTTCTGTTAAGTGGAGTGACGTACAATAGTTTGTGCACACACGTATGAGTGCAAATGCACTTATACCCACGACCCACACACTTGACTATGTCCAGAAATGTTTTCAGACTCTCTTCTTGTTATTGCAAAGGCCGCTGAAATGATGGACTAGAAGAAGGGGAGGGAGAACACACTTTAAATAAACGAGAACAACAGTACCGCCGCCACTTTGGGGAATGTCAATGTGGGGGGGAGGCACAGTTCTCCCGCTATTACAGAGAAAGAGGATTTGGCCGAAATAGAAGACAAAGCATATTTTGTCTGGATCAATAGCAAATCTGACCATTATATGTGAGAAGTTTATCCTTACTCTTCTTAGAATTCTGTTCTCCTCTCTTAATGCCTAAAACAATCAAGAGAAACATGGCCAGTCAAGTTCCACTGTGCTCTTTTGGATTTAGCTAGTAGATTTCCAAGTTCCGAGCATCCGGCAATATCACAAAATGATTTAGATGTTTTATGGGGTGATTTTATGTGGTGGACAGCTAGGTCATCAAATTATACGGAATCATAAAGTGATCAAGTTATTTGCATTCCAGTTGCCCTTTCTATCCAGCTTAATTTTTTAAGGAAGTGTGATTTGGAGCAACTGTTCCTTTACGCCCTTTCTAACATGTACTCTGAGCCCCAAGCTCTGAGCCTTCAACAGGTGACAGTTCTTACCTAGAACCTAATACAGTGATACCTCGGTTCTCGAACATAATTCGTTCCAGGAGGACGGTCGAGAACCAAATTGTTCAAGAACCGAAGCAATGAAACCCAATAGGAAATAATGGAAACTGGATTAATTCGTTCCAAGCCCCAGAAAATGCCTATTTACTGGCCTAATTTGTATATAATATGTAGAAAAACATAAGTCTCAACAAGAAATAAAAGTGTACAGTATGTCTAAGGGTTAAGGGTTAAATTCAGTGTAAAGCGTGACTCTCTCCACAAAGCGTGACTCTCTCCACAAAGCGTGACTCTCTCTCTGCACTCACACTGATGACGCAAGCAAGGCGCGCTGGGCCGAATGAACGCCATTCGGCTCAACTCGGCTCATCTCGGAAGTTCGAGTTCCAAATATTTGTTCGGATTCCGAGACAAAAGTTTCTCGAATCTCCTGGTCGAATACCGATTTGGTCGAAAGTCAAGGCGTTCGAGAACCGAGGTATCATTGTACTTAACCAGAGAAATACCCAATCCAACCCCTGAGTTTTGCAGATAAAGGAACTCAAGAGTCCCAAATCACACTGACCCAGGAACACACCCAGGCCTGCAGGTTTATTATTATTATTATTAAAAACACTTTTTCTTTATTGATTTTAGACAGAGGAAGGGAGAGGGAGAGAGAGATAGAAACATTGATGAGAGAGAACATCTATTGGCCGCCTCCTGCATGCCCCTCCCTGGGGATCAGGCCCACAACCTGGGCATGTGCCCTGACTGGGAATCAAACCAGGGACCTGTTGGTACATGGGTGGATGCTCCACCGCTGAGCCACACTGGCCGGGCTGCAGGCTTTATCATTCCACATTGTTTCTAAAACCCTGGTTGACCCTTTCTGTGTTATTCCCATGTTCCTGTGAGCTCCACGGGGTTTCAGTTTCTTAGAGACTTCCTTTTCACGCTAGGCAGGCAGTGCTCACTCTAAGAAATCCAAAAATCCTTGTTTTGGCTTACTAAATGGAAAATAATGTTCCCAGATGTTTCCCATGAAGAGGGAACTAAGAGGAGGCTTGTTCAGAGGAAAGAGACCTGGAGAATGAAGCAACGCTATTCCATATGAAGACCAGCCCAGGAAGAAGGGGGCATTTACGAGAAGAAAAGACCTGAAGAGATGTGTTCACGGGAGTATTGATGTGAAGCTTGTACCATGTGACCTGACTGAGGAGCTTTTGACAGAAGTCCCAGAAAAGAAACACTAACTACATAGGAGGAAGATCATTTTGATGGGCAGATTAGGGCAACAGCGGTTAACCTTAGGGTGGGAGCGAGTTCTCCCATTTCTGAAGATGTTCAAGAGGTGGACCATCTGAACATCTCGTACTTGGAGCCCTCTCTCGGTTCTCCAGGATACCAAGTGCTGAGGACACAAATCTAAGCAAGACAGAGGGCAGGCGTCATGTGGCGGCCAGAGACCAACTTTGAAACCATAGGTAGAATAGTATGAATGGCTTCTACTGGGCAGTCAAACAAATTGAGATAGAGAGGCACAATCACTGTCCCGACCCCCCGAGGCTAGTATGCACTTGGAAACAAACATCACACCGCCTTTGGTATCCACTCCGGCGTTCTTTCCACCCTAGGAGGTGGCAAAGACAAGTGTCTAGGACTGTGCAAAGCCACTGCTGCTTAGCCAATTCTGGATGACATCTGAACTGGACTTCTTGCCTCCATTCAGCCCCCTCTCCTCCCATTCCTCTGCCTAATCAGTTCTCCAGGAGGCCACCTGCGTGATCTTTTCAAAAACGTTAGTTGTATCTGTTGCTTCTTTGCTTAAAACCCTTCAAAGCACTCCGCTTACATGTGGACTAAAATTCAAACTCCTTCATGATTCTTAAGGCCCAGTGTGGTCCAGCCCCTGGCTTGTTCTCCAGTGCCATCCCATAATATGCTTTCGGTACTCTTGTCACCCAGGACTTTGTTCGGTCCTTCATACTCCAAGGCTCTCACCCTTACCACATGCTGCTCTTCCCCCGGTCAATGCACCAACTCTATTCATGGGTCAGACCTCACCCCTACTCACCACTTTTGCAGCATTCAAATATTAAGACCCTCAGAGTCCCATGCAACTCACATCGCATTCGAAATCTGACATCTGTTTGTGTGACTGTGTGACAGTCTGTCATTCCCCCAAGACCAAAGCTCCACGAGAGTACAGGAACCTTTTAGTTCTTTCCTGCAGTGCTGTGTGTCCAGCACGAAGCACCCAGTAGGCCTCAATGATGAGTGGATGCTTAAAGCTGCTGCCTCTCTCATAACCTGGCAGCTCTATTCACATTGGATTCTAGAGACCAGGAATAGTTCCCAGGGCCAGGAGACTCCAACCCTGCTTATGGCCAGGATATCTGGAGTCGTAGCCTCAAACCAAGTGTCCAGGATGGCTACCTCCTCTTCCAACATTACTGAACCGAGAGACGCAACTGAGGTGGCCCAAGTGAGGGATCATCAAGTGAAGCTCAGAGGCCTCCCAAGAAAGGTCCAGGCCTGTGGCTCCTTCTTCCCTGTTCTCCTTTAATGAATATTCATCTGCTGGGTGGTGAGAACACTTACCCTGTATTGTATTCCCCATATCCCCACCAACTTAATGAAGAGACCAAAGAAAGTGTCTTTTGCTAACAGCCAGCCAGTGCCGTCTGTGGAATAACGAGGGCTGGGGGAAGAAGCTCTTCTAAATGGGACGTGATTTCAGTGCTTCATTTGCAGCTGATCCATGACAGGGGACCTTGAGTGTGAGGAAATCCCTCACCCTCCGTTCAGACCCAGTGCAGGTGGAGCTGGGTGTCCAATCCAGAACTCTGCATGTTCCCCGCTCCATTCCACAGGCAGGGAGCTAGAGTTGCTAGAGGCCAATGCTGCGAATGAGAGCTTCTGCTTTTTCACTAACCAGCCCCATAGCCTTGGCCAGTTGCCTGTCCAGCTTGGTCTCAGGCTTCTTCCTCGGAATAATGGGTGAGCCGACCCTACTTCCTGTCAGAAATGTAAACTCTCATAGAAGGACTCTTTGTTCATTCTTTTCCTTAAACTGACACAAGCTATTGGCATTAAAAAGGTAGAGAGGAAAGCACTTTGAAAAGTGCTATTGAAATACAAGATATTATCTTTATGATGATTATTCTCCCAGGGAGCCACAGGGCAAAGCAGTACTTTTCTTCGTAGGGGAAGGACAGCTGTGATTTGAATGCCTTGGAGGTCTGCCTAGTCACCTGAATTTTATTAGTCTTGTAACTTGGCATCGCTATTTCCAAAACTCCCTTATGTTTCCCCAGAGTTGGCTACAACTTAGATGGCTGTTGGACCCGTTACTTGAATTTTATATATAGCCTTATGGATGGGAAAGGGATGAATATCTGCAGCTTGTAGATGAAAGAATAACAGTGAAGAGATGTAAAGGGACTTTCCCAGGGTCACACAGTGAGGCAGTGGCAGAGCTGGGAGTAGAAACCCAGATTTCATGTTTTCTGTCCAGCACACTATCCACTACAGAATATTCCCTTCCTCACCAGATTCTGATTCATTTATAGATGGGCATGGACTTCCTCAACTCATGACACCTCTGTGGTATTGCATCACAGCCAACACTCACTTCTTATAAAGCTCAGTGGAACCTTTGAGATCCTTAGAAAGGAGTCTTACAACCAACTTCTCCACAGGATTGGAAAACCTGTTTGTATTTGTTTCTATATCTGCATAACAAATCACCACAAACTTAGTGGCTTCTAACAATACTCATTTATTTTAAATTTATCTTTATTGTTGAATGTATTACAGATGTCCCTCCTTTTTCCTTCCACTGACCCCTCCCTCCCCTCTCCTGTCCCCCTCCTGCCATTCACACACTATTGTCTGTGTCCATTTGTTAGGCATGTATGCATATAAGTTCTTTGGTTTATCTCTTCCCGCCCCCCCCCCCCCGAA